AATAATAATAATAATAATAATAATAATAATAATAATAATAATAATAATAATAATAATAATAATAATGTCCAAATTGGAAGAAAGGTGTAAAAAAAAAAAGACAAGTTGCCGCTATGATCATGCAATTGAAGTCCTGTCCCTTTTGTACATGCATTGACAGATGTAAAAAGAAAAGGTCAATGTTTCAATTGCACTATTGCGGCCATGATCTTAACCTTTTTTGACACACATACACTGGATAGCCCTAGATAGCAGTATCTACTATTATCTACTGTATTTTGACTAGCATGCTCAGTAGGCCGAGGCAGAGATCTTTTCCATCAGCAGACTCAGAAATAGGCACCTACTGATCTGAGTAAGCAGCCTAATTTCAAAAGCCTTTTGCAAGCAAGCCAATCTTCTATGAAAAATAATCTGTCTCTTTCCTGGCAGCTGGAAATGGATTGTTTCACCACTGCTGACATATCACATGCCCTCCTACATACCTGTAGGAATTCAGCTCTTAACACACACACACACACAAGAGATTATATTCTCCTGTCTTAACAGGCAACTCCAGGAAATGCATGGGTACCTGGTCTCATTATTCATTTTCTTGCTTTGTGATCTAAAGTTATGTATTCTTGTTCATCAGCAATTATTTGCAGGGGAAAAAAACCCAAATAATTATTTCCCCTTCCCCTTTCTTTCTCTCTTTCTAATATAGAAAACTGTGGTCAGTTACCATTTACAGCCAGAAAGTTAATAAAAAGTATTACTAGCATCAATTTATAAGAAAAAGTGATTGCTAGTAATACATTTTATTAACTTTTCTTATACTGTCAATGTATAGAAGGTCAAGTTCAAATGGTACTTAAACATAAAAGATTGGCTTTATTTTGTTATTACAGTTTTCGATATTATAGCTTACAGGGTAAAACAAGATCTGTTTAGCAAGTCACTAAAGTGATTGGAAAGTATATGGATACTTTGCTGATATGGAAAAGGGAATGCTCTTATTAAACTGGCACTAAGGAACTAAATTCTGCTCTAGGAATAAAAATCAAGTCTTTTCCATTCCAGCATATGAAAAGATAATGTTGGATATCAAACCAGATAAGGATCAAAAGCTTGATATTGGCCATAATTAGCCATGTGGCAACAAATGTTACACAACCCACACACATCAAATCCAGACATCTTTCAAATAGGGTAAAATTAAGCAAATATATTGTTGTCTTCAACAAATGTCTAAATTTAGACAGAGTGAGTTTTAGCAACATGATACCAGGTTTTATCAATATAATTAAAATGTTAATCATTTTCAAATGTATGTTCTATGGCAAGATATTTGTGTGTGATTATGATGATCTTGGGTATAATTACCTGACAATAACTTTCACTAACCTCAGAGGTAGTGTTTATTCTTTACAAATAAACTGGAATTGTAAAACACATGGAGGGTTAGTCAAAAGATCTTTCAGTCAGTACAAATACGTTTCTTTTGATTTTAATTAGAAATGCAGGCTTGCCATTTAAATGACAATTAAGTAAAAATCCCATCAAATTGCAATTTTGTCTGCTTATTTGTTTCTATGCTAATGTGCCACAAAACACAACTAAAACTTTAGCAAATCACTAAAGTGAACAAACAGCATACTTTATTTATTTATTTGTTTGTTTATCCTTGAATGCTATCAATTATTCTGTTTCTGAGGAAGATGCAAATGAAAAGACCCTCCAGGATTCTGTTCTCCTCATCCATTGCCCCTTCAGTACACCTGCTAAAAAGCAATAGAAAAATGATCCACCTCAGTGTATGAAGTCAGTAAACTTCAGCAGCATAATGTCCAGAAACTGACATCCAGCCTTACTATTGGGATATGAAAAAAGAAAAAAAAACACTATATAATAAGCCAGGAACTTAATGTAAAAATAACAGTGTTTACAATATTAAACCTAACACCATAAGGGAAAAAATAATCACAATACAAAAATGAAAAAAAACCTGGGGAAAATACAGATAATTGCTATCCCCACCAGCACATTTTGTCTCACTGCCCTGTTTACTTTTCTTGCCTTCTTCACCTTACCTCACCCCTTGCCAAATACTAAGTGTGGACATAAGGCTGTCCAACATTTCTTATAACAAGTTGCTGGAAGGGGGGAGGTGTGTGTGTGCATGTGTATGTGCGTGTGCGTGTGCATGTGCGTGTGTGTGTGTGTGTGTGTGTGTGTTAAGGAGCTGCATGTCCCAGATGCCTCCCAACCAGGAGGAGTTAAGAAAAGTCCGCCCCTCCCCAGCCTGTCACGCAACAACAAGTAGTCCTTGACTTACAACACTAGAGCCCAAACTTTCTGTCATGAAATGGTTGTGAATTTTGCCCCATTTTATGACCTTTTCTGCCACAGCTGTTAAGTGAATCCCTGCAGTTGATATGTTAGTAACCCGGCTGTTAAATGAATCTGGCTTCCCCATTGACTTTGCTGGTCTCAAAAAGTGATCGCCTGAACCTTGGGACACAGCAGTGGTCATTAAGTATGAACCAATTGCCAAGCATCCGGATTTTGATCGCATGACTAAGGGGATGCTGCAAAGGTCGTACGGGGTGAAAAATGGTCCTTCCTCACTTTTCCCAGGGCCGTTGTTACTTTGAACGTTGCCTAAAGGAACTGTTGTAAGTCGAGGACTACCTGTATTTGCAGCAAAAAAAAGTGGAGGCGTTTTCTGTATGGGCGCCATCTAGCGGCCCCTCGAATCATCGCAGCCCGGATCCCGAGAGCTTGAAATCTTCCAAAGCGCCCCCGAGTCAGCCCGTCGCGCTGCCTACCTCTTCCACCAGCGTGGCCAGCTGGTCAAGGGTGGCTACCGACAGGTCTCCATATAGAAGTTGCCCGGGAGCGGGAGGCGAGCGCAGCGGTCCGGATGCGAGGCGCAGCAGGAAGACCCCTTTGGAAGAGCGGCCAGCAGTGGGCGGCAAAACCAGCTCCTCGGCCAGCGCCAACTGCCCCGCTGTCCCTTGAGTGACAAACAGAAGCCGCCCGGCTGGCTCGCTATCCAGGAAGGCGCGCAGCAGCAGCCGCGCTTCGGCAGATTCCAAGCAACGCGCCCAGCGCTCCGGCTCCACTCTCAAGCTGCGCGCCACCCGCTCCCCAAGCAGCCGGGCTCGGGGATTCGCTTCTGGGGAGCCCTCCTGGTCCGGGTCCTGCTCCTCCTCTTTGCTCCCCATGCCGCCGGCTCTCCCTTCCCCGAGTGTTTTGGTCGGCGCGGCTGTTGCTTGGGAGACCGGGACGCTCCTGAGCGGGAGTGGGAGGGACCGGCTGCAAAAGTCAGCTCTGACAGGCTGTCCCGCCTCTTTCCTTCGTTGGCGGACGGAGCACCTGAGAGGAGAGAAACCCGCAGCTCCCGGCATGTCCGGGTGGATTCCCAGCTCTTTCCCTGATACGGTCTAGGCAGAATGATCGGGAAAACGAGCCAGGAACTGCCCGGAGAACTCGAGCCAAAGGCAATTTGCTGCTTCTCGCTTAGCAGAATAACAAAAGGGACCTTGTAGGTCATCTAGTCCAACCCCCGCCCCCTCAACCAGACCCTTCACTATTTCTGACAGGTGGCACTCCAGTCTCTTTTGAAAGCTTCCAGCTTAGTACAGGCAGCCCTCAGCTTACCACAATTTGAGCCCATAATCGTAGTTGTTAAATGACAAATTTGTGAAGTGAGTTTTACGACCTTTCTTGCCAGAGACGGGAAGTGAACCACTGCAGTTGGCATGGTGGTTAAAATGAATCCGGCTTCCCCATTGATTTTGTTTGCCAGAAGCCTGCAAAAGGTGATCACATGACCTTGGGACACAGCTATGGTCATAAGAAGGAACCATTTACCATTTATCTGAATTTTGCTCACATGGTTATGGGGATGCTACAAAGGTCGTTAAGTGTAAAAAATGGTCACAAGTCACTTTTTTTCAGTGCTGTTGTAACAGTGCAGTTCACTAGATGAACTGTTGTAAGTTGAGGATTACCTGTACATGGGTTCTAAAAAACAATCAAGTTTGCTTTAAGGCAACGGGGGGTTTTTCAGTATCTTGTGGCTAAGCAGATCGGTTTAGTATCTACGAACCAGGCTAGGTTCATACAAATCTATCAGTCGATCTCTGCCTAACAGTCACTGTTGACTCCTTGTGATTGCCTGGGCATCCCTGTGGGTTGTCATTGCCTGCTTCTTAATTTGACTGGCCCAAGGGCACCCACTTGGCTTTGTGCCTAAGGCAGGTCTAGAACTTAAGAGTCTTTCTGTTTGCAGCCCGGTGCCATAACTACCACTGTAAACCAAACTAGCTCTCGGGTTCATACAATAGAAGCTAAAACTAAATAAATGCAAACTACACCCTTTTGTGCTGCCTACAAAGAAAGTCAGTAAAGAGCTTCCGCTTCAATTCCTCACTTTCAGCAGCAAGGATTTGTTTCTCAGTCTATGCATAGGGTACTAGACAGGGCAAAGGGGATAGCTCTCATCCAAAAAAGAAAGAATCCAGGGCACATCATTCAGGTCTAGCAATAGTCATGTTATTAGTGTTGCGAGAAGGAAAAAAAAAATTCAACAGCTTCACTAGAACTTGGAATTTCTTTTTATCGCCTTTTTCAGGCTTTTTCAACCACTAATCTCTTAACCCCTTAAAAAGGAAGGACACTGATGCTATCACTTGATGCTCTCTGAGCTTGGTTGCTTTCTTGGAGTAATTTTATTTTTATTTATTTGTATGTGGCCCATCTCTCCTATAAAGTGGGCAACATAAAATGATGCTGTTACCTAGTTTTGGAAACGAAACATCTGCAAGAAAACAAGCAAGCTTGGAGAGCACCAAGGAACTCTAATTTCAAACCCTGAGCTACAAATATTTTCCTCTTTAGGAAGGATACTTTTCATTCTGCTCATTTTAATTGCCTTTAGATTCACTTTCGGGACTATCCAAAGACTTACATTAGGACAGATCCCTGGAGATCACGTCCAGAAAGGAGAGCCAGCCACTCGACCCCTACAAATTATAAAGGCCATATGGCATGTTTCTGGAACTGGACACCATTCTGAATTGTGACCATTCCCAAAATAATGCCCACTTCTGGAATGGTGCTATGCAGCCTTTGTGTAGGAACGCTGCCCAGTAAACTGCTTCCTAAAGATCTATTGAAAAGTGACCAAACCCCAAGTGATGGGGAGTAGGCAGGATGGGGTGGGACCCAGCAACGACAAGACCTGCACGGACCCAGTGGGGCAAGCAGTGGAGCACGGAACGCCTCACGGGGTGAGGGAGGCCCTGAGAGGCCTAGAGCAGGCCGGGTGTAAGCTGGTGAAATGCTGCAGTGGAGAAGTAGCCCTGCCACCCGAGGCATCCCCTGCTCCACTTAACGACAACAGGGAGTTCAGAAATCAGAGTCATTAAGTGAAGTGAGCATGAGTGCCTCACTTAACAAACATCACAACTTGTGGGTGTAATGGGCAGGTTCCATTATGGTCAGAAGTCAAGAACCACCTGCAGGAGGATGGAGGACTGAAATTCTGAGACTGGTGAGATATCAATTTAATGAATAGTGCGATCTTTAATCATGCCTGTTCCTTTTAAAGACTTACCGGTAGTAAGTGGTGAGGGGCCTATAGCCACCCAAGTGTTTCTTGATCCCTAACTCTAATCATTTTGTTTTGCTTTTGGTGGCTGACATGATAAAAGAATTTGAGTTTCTTTTGTGGGGAATAATACAATGAAAAGTTAGTTTGTACTTATTTTAGGTGGTTAGTATATCCCTATGAAACGTCTAACTTGCAGTAATATAGATGAATATATTTTAGGACAATGTGCATTCAATATATCCATGCTGTACATTTTATTTACTGGGTCCTTGAATTTAAAAATATGAGTATTTTAAATGTTGTGCAATAAACAGTCTCAGAGGAAGAATGCTGCAAAATTGATTTTAGATAAACAGTGACAACTCCAGAAGTGTATATAAACATAACACTACAAGCTTATTGAGCTTAAAGGTTTTTTTTAAAAAAGAAATTAACCATAATTTTTCTCAATGACCATATAATAAAATATTTTCAGCAGACGGGAAAATGAGCCATCGGATCAGTGTTTCCAGATAATGCAGCTGGGAGGTACATTTTGTTAGCTATGCTATTAACATGTTCAGCAGGAACTCTGCTTTGTAATGGGAACACAAGCAATTTATCTGGAGCCAACCATCTGGCAAAGTTCAATGCATTGATACCTCCTAGAGTCTTCAGCCTCATACATATCAGATGTCATATGCTAAAGTCACTCTCCCTGAAAGAACAGCAACTACCTTGCTGCTTTGCTTAATTGGTAGTTTTAAGTTTTTTATTTGGTGCTCCAACAGAATCCTCTGTGTGTTCCAATTTCGTTTTGGTTGGAGATCTGTTCCCCGCAACAGTCTGGGAAGCTTTGAACGCCTCTTTCAACTGGCGCAATTCTCGCTTCTCCCGGCGCTCCTCCATCTCTTCAATCTCATCTGCAAACAAGGCCTTCAGAGGAAGGATCAGTTTTGGAATGGCATCGAAATCTTCAAAACAAACCTGACAAAGAAAACCAATAATATATAGCAAAAACCGTACAGAACAATATACAGCCTTTACATTTTTGTAACGGAAGGGTTACATGTATTGCGTATACCTTAATACTGAACTTTTTTGAACTGTGTCAAGAGACTAATTAAAACCTGATGGGCAACTAATCTAGTGCCCAACCAATTTTTCAAGCTCACTTACATATTTAAAATGTTCTGATATCTAGGAAAAAACATCTCAGAATTCTAAAATCAGAGTTCTTCCACTCTAACATGTCATCATATCTGTTTTCTGTTGAAAAAGCCAACTGGGAACAGAACCTGAATTAGCCAATAGGTCATTAGAATGACCCTCATCAGGCTGATGTCTTACCTACAAAAAAAGTGATTTATTCCTCTCTCTTTTTAAATCCTATAATCAGAAAGATGGTGGTGTATGCTATAATTCTTAAAGTTTGGAACAAATATATCTGTATTGTTTAAGAGGTGTGTGTGTGTGTGTGTGCGCGCGCACATGTGAATCTGCATGTGAGTGTGTGTGTCTGTGTCTGTGTAAGGCTGGGCAAAAAAACTGCATTAGAAAAAGAGACAGGACAAGCACATAACGGTTCAGTGAAATAGCAATAATAACTTAGAAAATGATTTGGGAAAATAAGTACAACCAGAGATTTATCAAAATTTGAATCTTCAAATACAATATATTTTCCCAATCCCAACTGTGCATTTGTATCATTCCTTCCTCCGAAGTGCCTGAACATAGGCCAAAATAATAGGTGTCCAGTGAGACTTTCAAGTAAATATCCTAAAGAATATTTATCTGGTTTATTTTTTTAAAAAAACCCATACCATAGATTACATTATCTGCTCAATCATTATCACTCCCATATAAACTAATTTTAAACCACTTTCTGGTTCACCTAACAGAATTATTAATGGGTTTGTGAGAAACCAACACAATTTACAGATTCAGGAAGGCCTGCTCAGTCTCCAGAAAATGAAAATGCACTATATCTGTAGGGAGATTTAAAAGCTGAGATATGAAGGAGGAAAACTAAGCAGATTCTAAGTCTAATTCTGAAACTGAGCATTTAAAAATTCTTTAAGCAGAAAGACAAAACTTTCTGATTTGCCAAAGGAATGCTCAGATATTTATCATCCCTACTACCTTTTCAATCTCTGACAATTTCAAGGTAATTATTCTCAATTCCCACTTTCTCCCTAGAGGAAATACTGAAAAACTTTAGATCTAAGCTACACAATGGAGAGATGAAAATACATTCTGAAGAACTGAGAGACTTGAACCAGTGATTTCCTATCAGATCTGATAGTCCAAATGGATAATGAGAAGACACCACACTCAGCTCACTAAATTAAGCCCAGCCCAGTGAAATTCCAAACTACTGGAAGTTCTTTAAAAGGGACTACTAGACTAAATTATTTCAAATCAGATTATTCTAGAAGTACAATCATTCCCTTGTGAATGGGAAAATAAAGGAAAGCATCTCCAAATAATGCAGTTTGAGTTGCTTCAAAGAAATAAATAAAAATTAATGCACAGAAGAATGAATAACTTGGAATCAAGAAGCAACTGCAAACTAAGCAAGAAATGAGTGCTGACAAAAACAACGGAAACCATACATGCCTATATAGT